CGATCGGTATGATTTTTACTAACATGAAAATGCTCATTCAGCCTTGGACAGTTATTCTGTTGAATTTCTTTACAAAATAAGCCGTTGGCTATTTGTTTTACAAATGAAACGAGTTCATGCCTTTTACTATTTCAGCTAACAAGTGCAAAGGTGGCTATATTCATGTAGTAAGGCTGATTCCTCATAAACAACTTTAACTTCTATGGAAGCATTCAAAGTGATATTATAAGTCGTGTTCGTTCTGAAGTGGGGGCTGAGACATCATACACAATAACTTGGAGAAATAAAGTTATTAGGCCACACAATGTTAATTTTCGTTTTGCATAAAAATCTGGTCAGTCGGATTTTGTTTTTTAATTCTGAATAATGAGCTATAACTCTAAAACATATCTTTAATCACAAAAGAGGCAAACCATCGGCCTTTATTTGTAATAATTTTAAATATTGGGTCTTTATCTGTAATTATTTTCATTTTGGGCCCTTATTTGTAATTATTTTCGTTTTTGGGCCCTTATCTGTAAATTCACTTTTTTTTTTTCCTGAAAACATTAATCAGTTCTTATTAATCAATTCTTATTATCGATAAGGTAATTTGGCATTACCATTGCAATAAGTAGATGGATATTTATCTAAATGGTGATGATTTAGCATTAAATTCAAAAAATAAAGTAAAAAGAATTAGCCAAGAAATTCAAATAAATCCGAATTAGATTTTTCTTTGTTTAATAATGCACATCAACTATTCCAAACTAATACAAATAAAGAATGATAAGCAATTTAATTATACGTTACTAATGCTAATGTTAGAAAACATGACACACATTGAATCAGTTACAATTCAGCCAGAGGGTGATGACACGAGTAAGTCAATATGGAGTATCGAAATTTCAACAAAACTTTGAATTTGCGAGAATGAAACTTGGTATACTAATTCCCTACTCATATTTCGTTAAATTTAACTAGCCCGATCAGGACAAGTTAAAGTTACATTTTCAGCATCAATTGTTTGAGAACAAGTAAAAGTTTAGAAGGTTGCACGAATATTAGCTAGTATGAATTACTATTACAAATTTGATACATTGGACTGCGACTTTTGATGGTTAAATTCATAAGTCACCTTATATCATGGTACAGCTTTTCGATAAGTATTGTTTGCTTATTTTCTTTCTCATTGTTCATCAATCATGTAATTTATTTTATATATCAGATATGAAAACCCAAAATGCAAAAAATTCAATGACAACAGAAGAGTATTCCAATATATAGAATGAACATAGAATGAACATAGAATGAACGTAGAATGAAACATAGAATGAACGTAGAATGAAACATAGAATGAACGTAGAATGAAACATAGAATGAACGTAGAATGAAACATAGAATGGGGATTTAGAAATATCATTCTATCACGGGATCTGTCATATTCATGTGTCACGTGATGTGCTCGATAGATAATTTTTTGATATTTCTCGTTATAGTGAACTCTCGATATAGTGATAGAAGCTAGAGTGAGGATTTTTTTTCAGCCAGACGACTTCACTATAACGAGAGTGAGTTGTACTAATCTAATTCTACAGGTTCGTAAGTTGATATTTCCGGAAAAGACAATTAATTAGATCGTGTTTTCTTAAATTGATTTTATATTCAGAGAATTTTACAGTGGCATATTGTAATTATAATTTAAGGGACTTTAGTGTTGTAATGGTTCGGTTTGCTTGGGGTGAGTTCAACCCACACCATTAAATTCCATTAAATTAGACTTGCACCGAACTGCACAGATTGCGCCAAACTTGCTAACATACTTTTAGAACTACTTCAACTTGGGAAAAGATTTTATCTTTAAGGACCACAAAAAGGGACCAATTATTAAATATACCCGAATTTCGGTATTTTACGAATCCTATATATTTTATATATTTTATATATTTGCAAGAAATATCTTTTAGTTTATAAAAAGTTAAGGAAGGTAATCACGTGATAGGATAGATGCAACGCACACATGAGATCGTCATTTTTGCAAAATTTTGATATTACCCGGCTTTTCTTCGATCAACATGTTTTTGAAGTTTTTATTCGAATAATATTGTCCGAACAAAATTTCCATAAAAAGAAATTGGCAGCATTTTACAATGAACCATTTTATTTGTTGATCCGAATTGTTTAAATAAACAAACGCGTGACACTGAAATTGAGAAATTTGATTGGTTTTCCACAATTTAATATCTATAGTGGACAATAACGTAGCATTGAATTGCATTTGATATTCCATTTTATAAGATAAATAAATCCAATCTACGTGAAACACGTATGTATAAACTTTAATAGCCGGAGAATATTCGCTTACGTACTTACATCATAATTATATATTAAGTAATTTATGTAAAAAAAAGTAAGTACTTTCTATTATCACACTTCATTCATTATAAATATATTGTGCTTATCATTTATGTAGGCGTTAAATTTGCTATTTTATACATCCATGATTTGATTTAAAAAATATGCGTACGTACACATAAATATATACATATATATACATATATATACAAATATATATATATCATATAATGATACTCCCAATTTATGAGATGGACTTTAATAGGAAAGTTATTTGTAAGGTATAAAAATGGGCGCTGCAAACATTCAGCCACGAACCAACAAACTATTTTCATCAATTTGCTTATTGTTCTGATACTTGAGTATACTTGAGTGTGCACTATAAGTACGTACTTATGCTACTTATGCACTAACTTAATTATCGATATAGAACATAAAATGTCCGAAATAAGTTTCATTATTATAATGCGAGATTACTTTATGCATACATTCCCTAACTTTACCGAATTATGTATTGAAGATTCAACTGCATGTTAATGTATAAATAACACAACCATGGATAGACAAGAAATTTATCTTTAGAACTAATAAACCAAGAAATTTATGAAATTCATGAAATTTATGAAATTTATGAAATTTATCTTTAGAATTAAATTTTATCTTTAGAACTAATAAACAAGAAATTTATGAATTTTATCTTTAGAACTACGTAATAAGAATGAAAAATATCAATGAATGATACTCAATTACATTATCATCATTATCAGGGTTCCTTATCAAAAATGGTTTACTTAATGTATATTTTTCATCGTACACAATATTTCGAATAAAGTTAGTCTCCATATTTATATGTAAAAAAAACCGTCAACATTGACCGCTGACTGGAAAATCTTTGTCAAAAAAGTGAATAATTTAACCAAAATTGTGTTAATTTTAAAGTCCATATTTATTTTACCAATTAATAGTGATAGGCCAACTTTGAGAAATAGCGTATATCCCGTATGTATGTGCTTATGTACATATGCATGTAAATCTTTATACTTATATATTTCGAACCGCACAAATCGCATATATCTTTAAATGCGAATTATCGTAACGGTAAAATCTCATTCTCCTTTATTTATATGTTTGCGGATAAATTTTTTCCTTTTTACAGTACCCGAGTTCTAATACGTACGTACGTACGTAATATATATTATAGGTGTAAAGAAAGTTCTGTAAAAAAACATGTGTATATGTATTATAGGTGTAAAAGAAAGTTCTGTAAAAAAACATATATGATAGGTGTAAAAAAAGAAAGTTCTGTAAAAAAAATTATATTATACTATATATATATATATATACATATATATTATTATATTATATTGATATATTGATATATATATTGATATATATATATATTGATATATATATATCTTGATATATATATATATCTTGATATATATATATTGATATATTGAAATATAATACGTATCTTACATCATAAATGTATAAATTTTATAAATTTTGTTACTTCATTTTGCCACCTCCGTACGTATGCTCAAAATATTTACGTACGCACCATAACAATAACAGATAATACCTCTAAAGTGCATAACACTTTACCTTAAATATGTATTATTATTATTATTATTATTATATATTATTTATTTATTATTATTTACGTATTACTCATTTAGCTGAAAATATTACGAGTGGATCTTCTTCATCACGTGCCACAATGAAAATTAAAAAGTTATTACGTATTAATATCGATATAAATCCACATTTATTTATCAATATTACTATAAACCAATAATTTTTTTTTTCCGTTTTTTTTTTTTTTGTTTTCAAGACGTTTGATACGCTTATGATATGTAAGATATTTTTAGTGATTAAGAAGGTGAAAATTTCTCTTGTTAAAACACTTACGTTTTTTCTTCTTATCTGAACAAGTTAAAAGGTAAGTTTATAAAATATTCAAAAAAAAAGAGATTATAAAAATTCTTTTTACTGTGTTTGAACAGACGAACAATATTTTTAATATTTTAAATATTTTAAACTGCTTCAAACTAGTTTTATATATATTTTTTTTAAACCTCCAAACTTTTAATACCAAAGATTATTATTTGACAATGTATAAACGTACCTATTGATATATCTTTATAACTGGACTTTTTTAGTCTGTATTGCTTAAAAATTCTCCATGAGTAACAAAGCGAGCATCGCAAATATTCTCAACGCCGATACGTCCAATACTTCCAATCATTCGGATCATAGATCTTCTATACCAAACAATTATCGATCAAATCAAACTTTACCGGCCATAAGTGATGTATTCTCTGTTGTTCCTATTAGTTATCCGGGTGGTCCGCAGATTCAATTAGTTCCTGATGGTGATTTAGCAAACTTTAATCGTGCAAATTCAATGATCTTGAATCATGAAGTTTTGGATGCAATGTCCATGAAGACTGCTGCTGTGTGTAACTTTTATTTTAATAATTTTTAATAATTGATTTATTAAATATATATATATATATATATATATGTGTAGATATATATATAGGTAAATATCTTTTTTAAAAAATTCTCTTTTTAATTAATATAATATAAAAAGGCTGCTGAAGCTTATAATATGGCTGCTGATTCTTGGAGGCGTGCTTCGCAAACTTTGTTCGAATATGAAAGCAGTTTTGAAAATCAAAATAAACCAAAAAGAAAATATAAGAAAAAACTATCCCGTGGTAATTCTGGGTCTGATGCTGATAATAGGAGAATGCAACCTCATGAGAGGCTTAAACGACCGAGAAATGGTTATATGATTTTCATGAATGAAGTATACGAAGAGACAAAAGCAAAAAATCCAAGGATGAAGTTTGGTGAAATTTCTGCTGCTATTGGTGCTAGATGGAAAAATATGTCTAAAAGAGAAAAGATGGTATTAATTTATCATTAATATCATTAATATAATATAATTAGCTACACACTTTTTTTTTTCTCTCTTTCTCTCTCTTTCTCTCTCTTTCTCTCTACAATTATTATTGATTTTTTTTTCTTTTTTTTTTTTTAAAAAAAAATCCCAAACGTAGCCTTATCATAAAAAGCACGAGGACGAAAAAGCGATGTATGAAAGTGCAAAGCTTGCAATGTCAAAAAGTAACTTATGTATTGTTGAAGAAAAAATCCCAATTCAAATTTCTCAATTTCAGTGTCACGCGTTTGTTTATTTAAACAATTCGGATCAACAAATAAAATGGTTCATTGTAA